AACGTACATAACAACATGTATCAACCAAAGCTCAGAAGGGCTGCAAACGTACCAGGGGTCTACTAAACAACGTACATAACAACATGTATCAACCAAAGCTCAGAAGGGCTGCAAACGTACCAGGGGTCTACTAAACAACGTACATAACAACAAACGTGTGCTTGTATCAGTATGTACAACTCATGAAAAGTACGGTGTTTGAAACAAAATGAAATGAGAAACCGTATAATAAAGTCGTATGATAATGTGATATTGAAAGTTTTCCCTGTTGTTGTCAGTAAGGGAATTTCCCTGCATGTTCATGAGATGTGCGATTCAACTATACGTTAATATAATTGTTCATGGTTTTTAGTGGCCAATGCATCTCCAAAACAAGCTTCCTCAGCGAAGTCTACAAAACAAGGCTCACGGCAGCCAAAACAGTCCACCAAAAACTCGAAAAGTCGTTCCAACAGTAGCTCAACATTGTCACAGAATGGCGGTCAAAAAGCCAAGGCTGTCAGATGCAACAGCACAGGCCAACTTAACTTAACAACACTTTCGACTGGCAATTGGAGAAATGAGGATACCAAACAAGGTCTACCGTTCCAACAACAACGATATACTCATGAACAATTACTGCAGCACGTCACGCAACAAGTGATGCATCAACAGAACCAACAACAACAACAGCAACAGCAGCAACAACAACAGATTTACAATGTACAAACACTACAAACAGAACTATTATCTCAAAACATGATTAGCCCAAAACATGACTCGCAACAACCGCAGCAGCAGCAGCCACAGCAGCAGTTTTACAATCTACACCCAAGACCATCACAACAACAGCAGCAGCAAAGTCATTATCAGCAACAACAACGACAGCAAGTACAGCAGCAACAACAACAACAASAACAACAACAATTACAAAGACAGTACGAACAAAAACGAATTCAAGAACAAGTTTTGCAGCAACAACAGCAGCAGCTGCGGCAACAGGAGGCAATCCAAGCCAACAACCGTCGTAATAACCTTCAGCAACCAAAACACCACCAGCAACACCGCCAGCAACAACACATTCCACAACAACAGCAGCAACAACAGCTGCCACAGCAACAATTGCCACAGCAGCAACAACWGATGCCACAACAGCAACAACAGATGTCACAACAGCAACAATTGCCACAGCAACAGCAACAAATGCCGCAACATCATCATCCGCAACACATGTTACAGCAGCAACATATCTCACAACATCACCAACAGCAACGACAAATGCCACAACAACAACAGCAGCAAATGACGCAGCAACAATCGCAGCTTATGTCACAACACCAACAACATATGCCTCAACATCAGCGTCTTAAACAACAACTGCATCAACAGCAGCAGCATCAATTACAGCAACAGCAGCAACACCAATTGCAGCAATATAAATTACAACAGCTTCAATTACAGCAACATCAGTTGCAACAGCAACGCCAAATACAGCATCAGAAGCACTTGCAACCTCATCTTCACAAGAATAATCATCTGCAGCACCACCATCTTCAACAAAATCTACAAAATACAGTGAAAAATACCATGGAAAATGTCACTACTGCTGCACAGTTACCAGGTCAAAGACTTCCCTCAATGCCTTTAATTTCGTCGCTCTCACGAATAACTATTAACAATCCCGTAACTGCGTCGTCTACCGCTCGGCCTCTTTTACCAAAGGCGGCCTTATCAAACACTCCAGGAAAGTCCCGCAACCCACAAATAGTTTCCGTTACTCAAAATCGACCCATCGCGCCCCGGACTCACGGAGTAGTACAGACCAATAGTGGGAACACAGGAATGCCTGTTATCACTGCTATTATATCGGGACCTCTTAGTCAAGAAATATTGCCACAAAATATACCAAACAATGATCGTAATGCGGTGTTTTTAGAAACAGACTTGAATAGCACTTTAGGAAGCAATTATTCTCTCTTACAATTTAACACTGCACAGATGAATAGYTTGTTGAATGATAGTGAAACAGCGACGATACTGCAGCAAAAYCAGGTAGGTCGTCATTGTCATATCCACAATCTCTTAGTYATGTATAACTAACTAATGAACGCCTTGAATTAACGCGTTCAAAGGCTACATCATGGAGGATTATACCGAAGAGGTATATGGGATGGGAAAGAAATTAATGCTGTGTATGTAGACTACTGAGTACTGTTCTTCGAATGCTATCATCAGTCCAATGATTTACCTTTTCGTGCACCGCTACGGTTTTAGCTCAAACTTGGATTATTGACATCGTATTTTCAGTTAGTTTATACTCTAGTACTTTGAAGTATATAGTGACGGACATCGTAATTCGATGTTTCRGTCCCAAGATCTCGCGGTATCAGTTAGGCTATCCCATGGTGCATTTCGAATATTGCGCAACGTCATAACGAGAAAGGAYCGTTCATTGCATTCATTAACAAGGGCTGATTCATAATTTTCCACTTTTTATCATTATTTTTGTTTGTTTTTGTAGGTAAAGGACAGCGTGGCTTTGAGTACCATTGACACTGTAGTAGCATCAGGGGTTGATATAATGAATTCTTGGCCGATGAATATAGACAATATCCCGCTTTAAATCATACAAGTAAGTATACCTCATGGGCTATCAGCAGCTCGTAGTCCACTCGCCCTCGAGGTCTAATTAATTAACCACCTAGAATATCACTCTCTAGACAACTATCAACATCCCTCTCCATGCACCCGTCCTGCATGACACATGATATTGGTTATCAGAAGTGTTGTACTTCATTGGAAAACAAAAGCAAATCTAGAATTAGTGACAGAATACGAACACTATTAGCCCTTGTTGTGGTAAATAGAAAGAATAAAAAAACAAGACAATTAGCATTTTAACACTATTATTTGTGTTGCACGCTTTCAAGATCTACATTTATATTCCAGCCGTGAGGGAAACTTTGACCAAATGAAACGTCTGCTGATTTAGTGCGCGCATTTGTCATACCCAGTTACACACATGAAAACCCTATCAGCTCTTAGTACTCCTAATATATTTCAAGAGTATTTCTTATTTTCCTTTTTAGATTTTGTYATAAGATCCGCAGAGAACAATTACCCAAGAATGGACGTCGTCAGTAATCCATGAGAACTATAAATAAATTGTTCATTTATATTCTTGTTTTTCTCTTCTTTCTTCTTTCCTCTTTATAACAAGACTTCGCGCTAGTCCTTCGCCTTAAGTTTCGGTATTTTTWTRGTGCGAGTTCGCTAAGACGGTTCGACTTATWATAAGTCTCATTGACTGCGAAAAGGCACCKACTTAGGCATGTACGCCTTAGTTCTCTAGTCTGATAAAGGTACGTTCTGCGGTATCTATGTGTGGGAGTGTTGTACAGTCAAGCATTTCAGGATAATTTCKTGTGAACGAACAAAATTAATTAGAAAGTACAACAAAAGGAATCAGTAAAATGTATGTAAAGTGAGCAAAGAGAAAGCAAAAGTTGGAGGAAATACTAAAGAAAAATATTGTTTAGCAAACAAGTATGTGTTTGAGTGAAAACCTAACATTTAATAGTCGTAAACATAAAACAGCGCTTCTCTGAAGACAGAAGAAAATGCACTAGAAAATCCTAGAACCTGATGGCTATGAATGGAATACACACAAACGTAGCACACACACGATATTTTTCTAGATCCTTCAGTGAAAACTGTGAATGGGACTAAAAAAAGATCAAGTTTCAGAGATAATGTATAAATGAAAGGCGGCACACGTAAAAATATGCAGATGTATCTAATAGTCTTTATTTCATTAAAAAATGATAAATTAAAGTATGCCCTTCAATTACTAAACTACCTTTTACGGCGATGACTTTTGCAAGTTATTTTCGAATCTTATTTAAAAATAGGATCACTTCTATTGACCATTTATTCTAATAAATGTAAATTAAATATTATTTTCCATTGGAACTTTTTCTTCTTATAATATTTTTTCAGATCGATGAATAATCAAACCGAGTTGGAAAACGCCYTYCACTAATGTCTGAGAAGTAATTGTCGGTATTTGAATAATTGATAAAAATTTTTATGCCACGTCGTGGGTTTCGACAGACAGCTTCTTGTGGAAAAGGACACAAGCAGATCGACATATTTTTATAGGGGCGTGGTGGGCGAACACATATCCCTCTCTCGATGTTGTTTTAGAAATTGCATCTTTTTGTAGCACCTCGAGGGGCCAATGTGAATTTACCCTGGTTAGTTTCAGAGGCTTGTATTTCTTRTTTTCCAACCACGAAGCAACGGGATGATAAAACAATTGCCTATTAACGAAAGCAAAGGAAGTCAATGCCTGTGGAACCAGGGACGATTATACTTAGAATTTGAAATGATAAAATGATACGAAACTTCAGTAACACAGGAAAAGGATAAATGGAAGATATTACATGGGCGCGCGGAGATACGGATTTTATCTTCGAGTGTTGAAACGATCTCTCACGAATGAGCGTAGCGAACTAGCGAGAGATTTTCAACACGAGAAGATAAAATTCGTATCTCCAAGCGACCATGTAATATTCTGTTTATCATATAATTGCATATGAAAGCCAATTTTGTCGTAAAATACCTTTTTTTCTTGCTTTTACTATATAGAGAAACCTCGAATGTGTCATTTTCACTAGTGAAATAAAAATATCAATTTTACGAAATGGAGAAATATATGATGACATATTTTTATGTCAATTTGAAATAGAGAAATACATGTTCAAGTACAATATTACACTTTAAAATGTTTTTTTTTAGTAAAAGTAGTTTATTAGAAATGCATTTATAAATGCAAATAAAAGTGACTCAGGAACCTTAACTACATATCAAAACCGGATGTCTGAAGTTGCAATATCGGCACGAAACTCTCACGAAACCGTTATTTGAAGTGATCTTACACAATKGCTTATAAAATACACAAAAGCTACCCACCAACTGACACTTGTGGARCGTTGTTAAGGCATGGTACTTGGGGAACCGACGCTTGGTAACTATGCTACCAATGACTAAATACCGATATCATTATTAGCGGATTATTATTAGGAAGATAATCCATAAAACAGCTAGTAAAAAGTATGTCAAAGATRTTTCTGATGAGTGAGGCCACGAGGATGTACAACTAAATCATTTCGTGCGATCAAAGTGAAACGGCACGTGTCGTAATGTAGCGTTCCTCAACAACCGCGGGGAAGAACTATTAAATTGTTGATTTAATATTTTAATCAGTTTAAGAACTATTATCTCCAAAAGGAGTTACATATGAAAGCTCATCACCTGTCGATATTCGCCTGCTGTCATGGTTTTTCCAAGGTTCTTTTTCAAGAATTCACTTTCCCTGCGGCAGTTAGTGTTACCAAGACATATGAGTATGACTGGAGTTTCATTGTTATATAAACGCAATTTAAAATCAATATTTGCGTTAAAAAATTTAGATTGGAGTTATTATTAGGAAGTTAAAATTTCGGCTACAAAACATCTAGAAAATCCTCATTGTTTGAAACAATAGTTATAAAACTGTGAGTCTGCTGTCATTACTATTTTTAGAGATGTTGCATTTCCAGAAATTCAATTACTTTGGAAACATTAATAAACATTAGAGCAAAACGTGTTTTAATCGCCATTTTTGTGCAAATGAAAAAGACAATTTTTTTAGGTAGACTATTTCAAAAAAAACATCACTTTGATTTTGACACTTTTCATAGTAAACAGTCCTATCTTATTAGAATTGGCATTCACCCATCACAATTTCTTTCTACCTGTCAGTTTTTTTGTGATATTTGCTTCGCTGTGTYGTATTCAATGAGCGATCTTAAACACAGGACAGTTTTTACAAATTTCCACCACAATGCGTATCTAATGTGGTCGTAACGCAGCTGAGCACACGAACTTGACGACACAAATGTTAAGGGTTGTCAAATGTTTTATTTCTCTTTAAAATATAATTTTAAAAACATTTTTCATGCTAAAGAGAAGATTTAGATATTATACATATAAAATGTGTTAAGCACTATAGAAACGGCTAGAAACACTGGCTTTTGATGTCATTTAATTTTAAAAGTCTCACGTAGTCGACGGATTTTTAATTCAATATTTTGAAACAAGGGATTATACTGTCATTACGAACATTGGCGGATACTTTCTTTTAAGACATTTTCAGTATTCTTTTTAGTATCGCTTGTTTCGTCAGGTGTGAAYCTACGAAATGGTCAAAGCAGAGTTCATTTTTAGGTTGCGTCAGAGAATCCATTTTAAATATTCGATCAAATGTACCGAGTTGTCTAGCGTATAAATCCAACTGCCGTACARCAATTCGATGAAAAAATCACCTGTATATGAAGATTACATTTAAAGTGTTTTATATTTTGTCTTAGGTAATTAAAGACCGTCCGATGGTAATATTAGTGGTAATTAAAGGCTTTTCTGCTGACTGATAGCCATCTCAGAAACGCTGTTCTATTCTCCAACACTCTTCACAGAGCCATTCTAAAAATGTAGTTAACAGCTACACAAGAGTTATTCATCTTAAGTTGTCTTATGCGTCCTGAAAGCGCTTGTATGTTCTTTAAGTCCTGGCGAAAAGAATTCTAAACCAGAGCTATTCACTTGTTTTGAAGGTACATGTAAAAAATCTTTTTGAACACATGGTTTACTAGTAGTCGCCTGAAAYCGCATCAACTGTTCATAGAACATGTCTTCAAACGGTGATCCGTTATCTGAAATGTCTGAATTAGGAGAATAGGGGTCTGCTGCCGAAGATGTTTCACTTCCTGTACGACCGTCACTCCAAGAACTCTCCTCCGACCATCTTTCAAGAAGGTCATCAAATTCAGGCCCAAACCATTCGAAAAGCTCGCTGTTTTTATGCGTGTTATCGTGGCCGTTGTAAGCATAACATGATGTATGCTTGTTAGTGTGGTGATCTTGCTTAGCGACTTTGACAGGTTCTGGGAAAGGTGCCATCACTTCGCTTGCCCTTCTTTTCATTCCAGGGTTGACGACCATTGGAACAGCACGCACGGCGGCCATGACTTGCTCAACGTTGACCAACTCAGGAGCATTGTGCGGCTTTACAGACTGCCAGTGCTGGATAGGCTGGTATTTAACTGCAGGTTGCGTGTATTGTATGTGGTCAGTAGAGGACAGTTTGGCTTGTACGTTCTTGTTAACACTTTTTCCGTGTTGATTTGGAAGGATGTCATGTTGAATGGCTACAGTCGTTTGAGGGGAATAACAGCTTGATCGACCTTTAAGCTGTCGCTGTAAATACTTCCGATGGTTCACTTTTCGCTTGGGCTTCATTGGTCGTCCAAGTGCAAGTTTTAAATTACTAGTCGCCATGCTTACAAAGTCTACAAGCGAATTATTAGTTCCTTCCATTCCTAAAACCGTCGGCACAAAGCTTGCACGATACCAATCCTAAGCCTCYTAAAGCGGTAAATGAGATAAAATGACAATCCCTCTTTTCGTTATTCGAGTTTCTTGAGTTTCTTAATCTGAATTTTAGTGTTTAAAGATCCCGGAAAGTGTAGCAAGTGTACTCTATCAGGTGCAGGTAACAATGAGCCAATCACTTCTTCAACAGTGAATAAATCAAGGAAGGCCAGCCAGTAATAATTTGCCCATTAAGAGGAGAGCTTGCTCTCTCGATGTTCTCTCGATAGAGACAAAAGCCGCATAAAGCAGCTGTTTCATTTTAGTTAGAACAAGATATGATGAAAATACGGGGATATTTAAGACCGTGGGAGGCTGGAACAAACGAGTTTCTCCGAGTTCGCAATTTGATTGGCTCATTTGTTGAACTATTGTGTACACGTGAATAGGTTTTATTGCTATTTGCATGTCAGAACAAGTAAAGGGCTTCTTTGAAATTGCATTAGACCCAGTTTGAATACATTTGCATCGCTTTTAGGGAAGTTGCTCTTTTTCCTCGTTAGGGCCTCCAAGATTTGAAAAAGAAAAACTGTTTTCAACAACATGACAAAAAAAAAAACAGTTTTCTTTGTTTAGGAGTAACTTTGATTTGAAKGTGCTGCGACTGTTCGTTTTCCTGTCACAGTGATTTAATAGGTAATAAATGAATTTGTAAACTATCGGAAATAATGCTAGCAATTTTCTTTAATTTCAAACTGAAATTACCACTACACTTCCTCTGACTGGCTGATATTTGGAGCTAAGTTGCCGCGGTGTCTCATTTGAAGAGAGATTCACGGAAGACACTATGCGATGACAGCCAAAGGACTGTTAAACATATGCATAAGTTACAGAGCAGGTGCTTAGTCAAAGTAAACAATACAAAAATAATCTAGCTATACGACAAGACATTCACATTTTACACAAGTGCGAATCAACTTGAGAAATCCATTTGTTATTCATTAGAGAATGCASTAAGTTTCTACGCGTTGGTAAGGTGAATTTTCGCAAACTTGCACTGTAATTAGCTCTTAAAGAGACCCTTCCTGTATGCTTTGAATTAAATGACTATTCAACTTTTTGTGGTTTAACACTTATCTTGGACCAGCTGTCAGACCGAAAAGCCTTCATAGAAAATCCTGTTAYCGATAAGAAAAAAATACATTTCACAACTACTGCTTTTTCTACAGTGCGACATTATTAGCTGTTACCAAGAAAATAGGAAAACTAATTCTGACAAGAAGTTTAGTTTCTAATCATAATTATAAAAGTATCTATTCTATCAATTTGAAACAGCCTTTCTTATGTAATAAAGGAAGCCTTTTTATGCAATAAAACTGAGAAAGAGGATGCTTTTTAGTCATTTTTATACAAGCATACTTTTTCTACGTGACAGATTCCTGCCAATTTTGACAAACGTCGACTCATTTCTTAATAACTTTGAAGATACCACCCTTGACAAGAATCTTTGCGTTGGTGGTGGTAATTTTAATAATGCTACATTTTTTAAATCAAAATTGGACTATCTTAATCATTTACTATTGTTTTACTCTTATATAATCTCGTATTCACTATACTACAGATATCAAATTAAACTTTACGGTTACATTCAGTTTATAAAAACTATGTTTACTATTTCGAGCTGCGATCAGAATGAGCAGCTTATAACATTGTCAGCCCGCCTTAGAGCAATAATGCCCGACAGTGCAAAAAAAACACAACAAAACAAAGCAAAAATATAAGTAAAGCGATAAAATACCACTATATCGTATAAAAACCTCGTGGACATGRCCAACTGGATTAAAACCAATCAACTTATTCAATCAATTTCTTGAAAATAAGTTTTTTCCAGTGATAGAAAAGGCTGACAATGTTCGGCGTCACGGAAAAGTACTGGTCGTAATTAGAGTAATATGTCATGCCTTTGGCCCTCCGTACGCCCTTSAAATTTCGATCTATCAACTCCTCTATCATGTCTTTCCGACCACAAAAAMGTTTTTAAAACGGTACGGGCAATTTTCAAAACGGTCTKGTCATGCCAAGTTATTTAAATTTTATTATTAGTTTTGTTTTCTTATCTCCAGCAGTGGCCTTATTGATACTTGGATGGTTATCAGAATAAACTATTGAAACACGACCGCATGCTACTAGAAAAGGTACATGTGAAAAGCTTTTGTATCGAATAGTTCTTATCCAGTTAGAGATCGTCTCTTTTTATTTTAACATAACRAACACGGATTAGTAACAAACACTCACACAAAAACTTGTAAAGAAATATATCAACTTGTTTTTCACRAAGTAACTAAGAACACCCAATCTTATAGTTCAACTTCAAAATTATCTTTGAAATGTTTTAAGAAAGATTACATTTTTTCGTACAAATATTTCTTAATAGGTCTAGTAGAGTGGACAAATTAATTGCAAATTGTTAAAAAGCATCTCATATTGCCTTTACGTGCCTTAATGACATTTAACAAATTTGCAGTAAAAACCGATAAACTACTATTACGCAATGAAAAACAAATGTTTATTAGGTATAAAACTGACGAAAATACCAATAAATAAACAGGTACTCTAATTTTGTCGCAAATTTTCAGTTAATAAAAGGATAAATAGATTTAGAGCGAACCGAATTTAGCGGAATTACAATGTTTTTTGTATTCTCTTTAATTAGTGAACATACATTCTGTTTTGTGAAAACATATTCCCTTTGATAAGCTACATTTTGTTTTGTAAAATACATTCTCTTTTGCGAAAATAAGAAACCTTTTGTTTTGCGAATCATTCTGTTTTGCCAGAGACAGTTTGTTTTGTGAAGATACATTGTTTTGTCTGCTCACACTCATTTACAAGTGTCATGTATGGTTCCCTTCGGAATAGACCTGCTTTTGACAGCCGTTCATCTAGTTCTACTTTTTTAAAAGTTAGATTAAGGACATCTACAATTGTTTGGATAACTTTTCTACACTTTTAGCGTCAAAACTCTGGCGTCAAAATGTCTTCGTGATGTAAAATGTAGTTCCTATGTTACCGCCCTAAAGCTGTCCTCACTGCGAGACCAACGAGTATAAATATATATCTTCCTCTCTTCTCTTCTTTTGTCGTTTCTTTTTTCGTTATTATTTGAAAGTACATGTCTATTTTCTTTAGCATTTAGTGCTTTTTTGGAGTTGTATATAATCTTTAAGTCTTTAAGTACCGTTCTATTGCCAAAGGGACTTTCCTTTTCTCATTTTTGCGTGACTGYTTTGTGACGAATTCAGTTCGGAAAATATATTTGAAATAAAATTCATTATACAATTAATTCTGTAACTAAAAGCAGTTTCGGTTAGGAAAAAAAAAATTAGAAGTATACTCAATGGTGATAAGTTCTRTTTTAAAATAATTAAATCACTACAAATAAGAGCATTTTATGAAACGTAAACATATTTACAATTGCGAGAAAAAAAAAACGAAAAAAAATCAAGGAAAAATTAAAAAAAGAAAAATGCTACACACAAAAATTGATACTTGTCGACAGAACAAAAACATGGGAATATAAACAAATGAAACAACAGTTTCTCAGAACAGAAAAAAATTAACAAGAACAAAATTATCAATAATAAAACCAAAAAAAAGCGGTTAAAGAAAGAAAAAAACTTAAAATAGGTAGAAKCAAATGAAATGAAAGAAAGAAATARAAGAATCTGATAGAAGGRAAAAATGGAGTAATAGAATAAAGAAAGAAACAATTGGTTAGTGTGAATGATATTGGGAAAAATATTTTAGGATTCATACCAGTTCAACTGAGAACTCAAACAAGACTCAAGACTCAAACATAATCATAATGATGACTGAARTCCATATTGATTACAAAATATCTTTTTTACATTTCATGCTTTGAAATACTAAATTACACCTAGCATTAGTAACAAAGTACTGCACCATTCAATTYCCTGATTTGCCTTCATAAAACTTCAAGTTAGTATCCCTTTCTTCCCCTGAATCGTGTCCTAAAATCAAGCTGAAATCAAATAATACATAACTTTATCAGCCATGCATTCTAGCACCCAAACCCAACTTGTCCCTCATCTGAGGTTCTGTGTAAACCTTTCAAGCCACATTATTGGGCACTTCAAATTGAATAAATAGGTCTATGGAAAAAAAAAAGAGAACTGGAAACCAGATTCCTAGTTGACCAGAGCCTCTAAGGGGGAGTCTGGGTCTAAGAATGCATATGAAGTTTAGCTGGGGATACAATCCATGGGATGCCTGTGTAAATACGTCAAATTGTACTCTATTTTTAGTGATCGTTCAGGAGTGACCAAAATATTTAATAAAGGGAAGAAAATGATTTGTGATAGAAATATTATGTGCTCTTGGTTTGACGGTTAATGCAAGGTAAAATGTTAATCTATTAAGAAAGAAAGTCATTTCTTACCAGTGATCGTTTACATTCAAAGAATGCATATTGTATCTTCCTGCAATCATCACTGACGCCTTCGACATCTGTCTTCATACACATTGTAGGATGATTACCATGCTATTCAAAACAATAAATGTATTCATATGCATTATTTGTTGATGGTCCTTTATAGCCACATAACAATAAATGTATTCATATACATGTATGGTCCTTTATAGCCACATAACAATAAATGTATTCATATATGGTCCTTTAGAGCCATCCATGAGTCACATAACAATGTGGACAGCTCTTTCAGCTTTATTACAATGGGTCCCATCATCCAGGTGCAACTATTCTAGTGAGCTCGGGAGATCCATCAAAAATAGTAGATAAAACAATAGTTAATGTGGGATTGGCTCTGAGAAAATAATAACAGTGTTGCATAATCATAAGCATTTATAAATGGAGAACTTGCTTTCCAATATGGACTGTAACAGCTGTGACCCATTGAAAATTGCCAATGCCACATTGCAATAGAATGACATAGAATGGAAGGCATATTGATTGCTTATTGCACGCAAGCTTGTTTTCCCGGGAGCTGTCAACGCCGATGATCAAGGCGAAACACAGGATCAATTAGTGACTAACCTTAACAACACAATCACTTTTCAATATACATTCTTTCAGCTCATGGCGCAGGCCGCCGCAAGCTGTACCGTCGCTTTTTGTGCTCGGATCATCTTCTGGGTCCATCTTCAAGTCAATCCGCCATTTTGTTTTATGGAGAACGTCCGCTGACCACATTTTCAAGTATTACCGCTGTGCATACTTACGCAGGCGCGTTCAGCATTTCTTGTTGACAGCAAAGTCAGCAAATGAAATGGAGGAGTTGAGGGGTTTGAGCTGTTTAGTATGTTACAATGCTTTTTCATCAATTCATGATTCCAATATTCCTCGTAATCTGATATGTGGTCATTCATTTTGTACAGGTTAGTGGGTTACAGCGGGTACAAATGAAAGTCCATCCATGGACATTGGAATTTATGCTAAATTGTTTTTCACCTTTCTAGTGATGTGAATTCGATGGATATTATGTTTTTAAATCTACAAAGAAACTTTAACCATTACCTTTCTCCTTCTTTCTATGACTATCATAGATTAAAAAAGTCAGGGAGGTTACTCAAGTTTGCTAATATTGTGAAATGTAAACTTTGCAGACTAAATTAGATTTGAAAACCTGCATGGCTACTTGACAAATAATTTGATTATTGTTGGATATATGAGGGTAATGCATATTAACTAGATGTCATTTCCACTTTCAGCCTGCCTTGAAAAGCTTTCGCAGCAGTGCCATAGACTATACGTTCAATGTCCAACTTGCAAATGTCAAACACTATTGCAGCATGGAATAAAATCTCTTCCTAAAAACTTTGGAGTATTAGAAATAATTGWATCCAGAGAAGGTGGACAGTCGGCGTGCACAAGCCCTGACAAGAATAAACATAAAGAAAAAAATAAAGATAAAACAAGACATAAATGTGAAGAGCATGATGAAGAAAAGAAAGTCTATTGCTATACAGATGAATGTTTGATATGTATTTATTGCCAGGTAATGATATACAACTTACTGTTAGATTTTAATTTGTTTTTTCTTTATATGTCATAAACCTGCATAGTTAAGCTTTGGACCTATGGAGGTATATACGTGTACATGTGCGTAATTGGAAAAATGTAAGATTTGTTTGAAGTTTTTCCTGTGAATAAAGCATGCATGATTGTATAGTGTAAAATCCACAATGCTGAGCATTTTATGTAGAACCAATAAGGGTACACACTGTCTTGTAGACCAGAAGATGTAAGATGTAATAGAAAGTTCTCCTTTAGCAACAAAGAGAATTATTTAAAGAAATATGAGTGCGTCTCTGGCCAGGGACTGCTGGAAGTTTAATACTAAAACTAATAATATAAATTRATTAATTAATTAAATTAATATTAAASTTCCAGTAGTATCTGACACACTTGTATTTCTTTATGCAATGGAAACATTAGACAAGTCAAAAAGTTCAACTTATATCTCTTGTTTTTAGATTTATGGAAAACATCAAGGTCACAAGTGTGAATTAGCCAGTGATCTAGCAAAAAGCTCAAGAAYGGAGCTTGAAAACATGGCTGAGAAACTTCAGAATGAAATAGCTGAGATGAACAAAGGAATAGAATCTCTTGTTGTTGTGAAAACGTCAATTATCAATCGACAGAGATTTCTAAGTGAAACTATCAAGAAATACATGACAATTATACGACACTATCTATCAATCCAAGAAGGAAAATTGTTGAATTCTGTCAATGATATGTCCTCATGTAAGCTACAAGCTCTTATGGCTCAAGAGAAGTAAGTGTGCTCTTACATTTATTAAATGAAATGCCAGATGGTTGACGTCTCAGAGCTTATTGTGTTTTCGCGATTAATATTGCTGTACTTGTTGTTATTAATATCTTTTTTTTACAGGACATTACAAGAGTTTAGTATGAGGTGTGAAGAGTTATATCTTTTAATCAAGACTCTCAAGACTGACAATGACAGCAGTGTGATTGAGGAGAGACCTACAATAGAAAAACTAGTAGATGGTATGCTGTCTGTTTCGCACGCATGCCAAATCAAACCCCAAGCACAGAATACATTGATGTTTAAATGCAGTGATGATGTCATCAAGATGCTGGATAAATATATTGGTACTATTGAACAAACTTGTGGAGGTGATGATGTTAACTATCTATCTGYTTATCTAGATTACTTGTCTACTTGATTTGATTATCATTGTTTGCATTGCTACACAACCAGTCCAGATAAAAGTTCACAATTGCAGTTATTAGCAACAGACCGCTGTCAACTTAATTGCTTTCGTATCAGCTGCTAGCCTAGTATATTCYCTTAAATGGCATGTTRTGAATTGTGTCCTGGATTGTTACACAATGCAAACATCAGTGGTAAAGGATAAATTATGCACCATACTAGAATATAAAAAMAATTCTTATATTTTGAACAGTAGTTCTTCTTTTGTACTAAAGAGAAAGAAGAATCAGCTTGAAAAATGTTAGTGAATTTTGATCCCTTGTGTATGGTGTGTAATTTCTCCTTTTATCACAACTKTTTCATCCGAACCACCATCACAGACCATACTAGTTTAACAGTTAGTTTTGTCATTGTTCTATTGCACAGACAAGGATGATGAACAAAATGACAACTCAGATGAAGATAAAGAACTTTTTTTGAAGAGTGTGATTGAGAAACTTGAAAAGGAAGCCTTCTTTGAAAATGTTGAAAATGATCTTTTGGAAAGCCAACAGCAAGAAGAACATTCAGAAGATGACTCAGAGGATGAGGAGGAAGAGGATGTGGAGGATGAGGATGAAATTGAAGAGGAAGATGATGATTCTTCAGAAGAAGATGAAGAAACTCTGGAAGAAGAGGATCAAGATGAAGAAAATGGTAAGCTATGTTTTTTAAAATGACCTTTTAACCTATTATTTTACATTTAACTCTATCAAACTTCGACTTGTTTTTAGAAAGKAAAAAAAGACTGTGCTCTATAAAGTTGTAATAAAGCACTTTGTCATGTAGTAGTGCAAGAAGCTCACATTTTTCATTTGTGTTTCTAACATTCACTGGAAATGTGAAAGCATGTTGTATTTCTCAAAGAAAATATTGTATATTTCTATCCCTCTACAAAGATGCTTACAACATACATGTATCAGAAGCGAATATTGAAAACAATAGAAATAAAAAGGAATGGAAACAAGGGCCCTACAGGAGTTTTGATAACAAATATCTAGGGATTCTATTCACCTGAAAAATTGCTTGTCAGCAGCAGAAGGACATTCTTGCTTCTTGTTAAATTCAACAAGAATAATTTTCAATTCATAAGCTACTTGTGGTTTATGTCATAAGCATGTATACTGTCACCCTTAAATTTTTAATTCAAGGCTCAATTTGAGGCTTACTAATTGTATTTGATGATTTCTCAAGAATCCCATGCTGAAGCTGAGGATGATGAGCCTACGTCAGAAGGAGAACTTATTGGGGCAGTTGGTGGAAACATCCTTCCTGAAGCACAACAGGATGAGGGACCAAAACATGACAAAGAAATAAACAAGAAACAAGGCCTACTGAGAGAGCTACAACATGAAATAGAAAGGCTTAAGTTACTTGGACCAAGAGGTGATATAATACGAGTGGTTGATGACACTTCATCAAGTTCAGATTCCGACAATGAAACAGGTGTGTGCYAATTAGAGTTACTATCACTGCTTTAGTTAAGATGCATTTTATACATCTTGCACGGTTTATTATAGTACTAATGCTGAGTTAACTACTGAAGAATCATTATTGAAGTTAACTAGACCTGTCAGATTAATGCAATATAGTCCTATTTTGAACAGCCCTGTTAGAAATGATTATATATAGAGAATAATGCTGGGARATATTGAATTATGTTGTTGATTATGATGTTGATGATGATAACTGATTGATGCTAACAAGGAAGTGTAATGCAACTCTTATAATTATAGCTGATGGTCCAAGTACTCGTAGTTTACAACTTGACCTGCAAATYACAGTTAATAACGATTTGGGTGGAGCTCGATCCAGATCCCGCGCCACGGCATCATCCAAAATGGAGGACCTGTTTACTGTAGCAAACAACAGACTACCACGTGATCGAAAAACAGAACCAATTTATCACAAAAGAAAACAGTGTTCAGTAAATTGTGAACATCATTTAAAACCTACTCTACAATGCAAGAAATGTTGCCRAGTGTTTTGCAAAAATTGTGCTTCAGTGTCTCTGCATTGCAGCAAAAGTGAAAAAGGTCACGATTATGTGAACTATGGCCAGGATTCTACTCTACGTAAAAAAACGAAATCTCGTAGGAAACTCCAATGGGAATGTAAACGGTGTACCATGGTAAACGAGAGCCATGTCCTTGTATGTGGGGCTTGTGARACCTCGAAAGATTTCGACCCTAATGAAGTGCGAAATGTATGCCCAATGTGTACTCTGGTAAACGAACCAGGAAAAACCAACTGCGAACTATGCGATACTGATTTAGAGGAGTGTTTGAATTAAGAATAAATGACGAATGATTATTTTAAKAAATGGAAAGCGTTTCAGTGTTTTTGTGTTATAAATTAAAAATAAAATAGAGAGAGAATGGAAAATATCGAATGGATAGGTGGGGCAGGACCGAACAAGGGGATTGTTACGTATTCCTTCACGTATTCCTTAGATAGTTTCAAAAGTCAATAAGTAGTGTATAGATTGATTTTCTTCAGAGAAAGTTTTTTTTCAATAGAAAAACTGTTCTCAAAATGTAGCAAGGAGTACTTTCTTGGTTTTAATGATTCAGACCGGAACAGTTTCGACTCGACCGCASCCGAACCTTCCCAGCTTCCTGGCCTGCTTCGGTACAGTTAAGATCCGTGATAGACGTACCTTTGAATAAGAATACAGTCGATTGTGTATAAACGTGCAAACACCACCTTGTTTCTGTGCGCTGAAAACTAGTGCAGTGGATTTAGAATATTTTCTCTCAATGCAATTTTCTGAGCACCAGTAAAATRCGTGCGTCGTGTTTTTGTCCTTGCACAGCCTTTCAGAATTTGCTTTTGCACTCGTGTTTGTCCCGGTTGGTSGCCTGTTGAAAACTTGAAAATGAATATGTTCCYCAGTGGGAAGAGTTAAAAGTGTTAACTAAGTGTCCATATATTTTTGAATTTGGCAAAATCTTTAAGGGGTAAGTGCCACTCCCTGTCCCTATTGTCCCATGTGGCATTGGGAGCCTCCATACCGTTCATTCATCAGCTTGGCTTGGTATTGAGCCTCCACACAGTYCATTCATCATCTTGGCTTGATTCACGTCCTTCTGCGAGTTCCAGAAAAATGCGTCAGGTCGCAGAAGTTTGTATCATCGAAGACGAGAAGGGATTTTAGGCATGCACTCGAGTCTCATTTGAATTATAGACACGCGGACATTATCAACATTACTCTTATACAAGGCCATAATTATTTAGTACAAATAGGGATTTAAACTCTTCTATTACATTTTTTGGCATTCCCATGATTCCATTCAGTCTTGGTTTGATTGATGACCAACCAGACAACATATTTTTCAAAGATAGATGTTTCCTTGTAAAAAGATATTTTGGTGGTTTTAATCTCCATGATAGGATTTTAATGATGATGTTATATTTAAAAAAAGGAAAAAGGAGAGAAAGAAAAATACAATGTCAAAAAAAAAAAAAAAATGYGACAACAATACAAACCAACAAAAAACTGACGCAAACGAACTGGGACTCGAACCCATGAAAACAAGTCGAAAAAGATTGGGACGATTCCCCCGAGACATTCTGTGAAGCTGAGGCGTCGAATCGATTTACATTCCGGTTAGAGATTTCGGCTCTTCCATGCTATCCCGATAATTGGTCCTAACTTCGCGCTAACTAAAAAGCCAGTGAGGGAGAAGCTATCCGGCCCCTAGACACTGATGGATAACCCCTTGCACTAACTAGGCAACTATCGAAAGTATAATGTCAAATBGGGRYWGTCTATTCGGTGAAAGTRTCAAGTGGTCTATTATTATGTAAATGAGTGTGGTCCGGTGGCGCATCTCGTTAAGGCGCTGTTCTACAATCCCGAAGTCCTGAGATCGGGATCGAATTCAGTTCAGGGACCAGTACTTTTTATTATTATTATATTTATTATTTAGTGACAAATTTCTTATACTTTTCATGTTTTCATTGTAATTTTACTCATTCCAACTTTTTAAGTAATTTTTTTATGAAAAATCCGCGAAACCCTTACTCCTTGTCATTCATGCACAACAGGATCAATGGCCACACCCTTGACAAGATCTTCACAACAAGTTAAAAATTGGACCTTCCTCAATAGAAATTATTAAACCATGAAAAAACTAACATGATTAACATAATTATTGCTAGAAGCATTTTTCCGTGTGATTCCATCAAACTAAAGTATTTTCCAGGTACACGTTGGGATTCCTGTATATAAAGTAAGCCTTCTAGCTGGGTAACCTGCCCTGCCACGTCGCCTGCTCAGCAASCTACTGCGCATGACCAGCTTGCTTGCAGTCTCATAATTTACGCAACCTTGGAAGGAATTCTTTAAACTTTCCTTCATTTTGGGCTGAATAAAAAGTGTCCAAGAACCTAATTTATAGTTAAGATGTTCTAGATTGTATTCAAGATGTCAGGGACTGGAGTTCCTTCGAATACTACTTCTCCTGGAGCCGAACAGAACTCCTTTCATCAAAGCGGTCCAAGGAATCATTTTCAAACGAACAACATTGCAAACCATGGTTCGGCTGTGCACGCAAATTATTCTCAAATGGATGCTGCCAGATCGCCTCAAAACCCTTATGGAATGGACAACCAGGCCTTAAAGGCTGCAGCTAAAACAAACCAAGCTCTGCCAAGTGAGTATTGTTTATGTCGTATACAACGATTTCGTCATCAGTCAAATATCAGATGACATGTACCATCAAGCAACAACTTAAGGCTTATAAGCTTAATTTTTGAATTAGTTATATTACCTTTAACTACTTCATATAACTGTTTGAATAAACTATAGTTGATTTATAAATTCTGTTTATTTATGTGTCAATTCATCAACGATAGTGAGATGGTWAAATCTTATTTGTTTACCATGGTCTCCAATATGCCGGTCGTCGGGATTCCACGTCGTTGCGAATTACGTTACATAATTTTGTAATGTTGTTATGAATTCAGTGATTTAGAAAAAGTGATTTTAGTTTAGTTTATACTTGTTAATCTATTMTTTTTAAGATCTTTTAGCCATAAATAATTATTTTATATTTCAATTAAATTTTACTAATCAATCCATGCCCTATATGCATCAGAACTTTGTTATATTTTTTCAAACTATTAATGCTATGTGTTACTGTGGTTTTCTACCTGTAGATTCACATTAAAAATGAACCCTGTGATATTTCTTTAACATGATCAACTAACTCTGTCTATCAGCAATCTTGATACCTGTATTCTAGGAAAGAAGAGAAGTGAAATGCACTTCCCAATTATGGGATGAAAGTTCAATGTTCACTAGTATATTTATAAGCTTTGATATCATATATGAAGAGGATTATTAAATCCTATGGATCTGTTCTAGTTATAGAGCATGTTTCAAAAATGTGCTATTTTAAATCAACATGAAGAAGAGATTTTATATGATATTTTGTGTTCTCAGTAAACACCATGCATATAGTGGTACAATTGCATAGCAAAAGATTCTCTATTATTGACTTGAATACTGACTAAAACAATATTGCTGTTCAAAGAATTATTGGTTGACATTTCTTATATAATGAACTTTAGAGTGGATAGATCTCCATATTTTTTGTAGCCATTTAATCCTGGTAAGATAAACTTGTAGATCAGAGGAATCATTAGTAACAGGATACTACATGGACCTACATACTGTAGATACGTATCTAAGTTTTTGATTGACATCTCACATCACTCACTTGTGATCACAAGAACATAAAACACACATCTCTAAGCAACCATGTTATAATGGGTTTGAAATAAGTAAACGCCAATTTTATCTATAAGTCATGAAATAGGACCATGTTCACATTTATTTACGCTGAAATAACTTGATATTTACATGTTATAACATACCATTTCTAGTTTGTATCCAAATAGATATCAATATTATATTGGTATTGTATTACCAGATAACATTTTTTTAAATCTGAGCTTCAATAATATAGAATGACTTTTATTCATAATTGAGTAATGATTTAGATAATGAMAGTCCTTTTTCTGTTACTATGTAAATCAGGCAATAATATTTTAAGACATTTTCTTTAAAATTAGTTTAGAGATATAGATATTTATTTCTTGAAATACATGTAATCTTYAAAATATTTGGTTTCAGGTTCTCAACCTTTTAATTACTCCCATGGTCSCAATACATCAATGCCTAATGGCCCTCCWMTGAAGACGTCCCCTTTAAATGGTCCTAGTGGTAGTAATGTAGGAATGCCTCAAGGATTATTGTCTACGATGGCACCTRTACCATCATCACAACAAGCTAATGGTCAACAGGCCCGTAATTCACCCATCTCTCAATCCCATCAGTATCCCCAACCAGGACCACAACATCTAAACAATCCAGGATCACCTCAACAACGACAAAACAATCCAGGAGCACCCCATCAACAACTAAACAATCCAGGATCACCACATCAACAACTAAACAATCCAGGAGCACCACATCAACAACTAAACAATCCAGGAGCACCACATCAACAACTAAACAATCCAGGAAAACAACAACAATTATCTAATTATCCATCTGCACCCATGAACCCACAGCAACCAATTCCACAACAAGGAAACTTCGGTTCAATGGTTCAAAGACCTGGTATGCAGCAACCACAGACAGGCTCAGCATTTACACCAGTTGGAAGCCAACAACAGCCACTACAAACACCACCAGGTAGTGAATCACAGCCAGGAACAATGACACCACCAGCTACACTACCTGTTGGACCTCCATCGCAGTCACCCCAGAGGTCAACACCTAGTCCAATGTCAGCATTACATACTGGCAAACCAAAAAGACCAGGTTTATCACCAGGACAACAAGGGATGCCTCAGCGATCTACACCACCATCTAGTGGACCTCCAACACCTTCTGGTATGCCATCACCAAGTATGGGCACTCAAGGCCCACCAACAAGTTTTCCAGGACCSAGCCAAGATAGCTCTGCAACTAGTAGACCATTGATTATGTCTAAGAGAAGGCAATATCCAACTCAGGTACCATTTTACAATGATTACAAGTTTGATAAATTTTGAAATATAGTAAAGCACAGCAG